ACATACTGTTGGTGTTAACAAGATTAAATTGGTACTTGCTTTGCTTCAAATCACCGAAAATACCCATTGAGTCATGATGAAAATAAAAGAGTTATTCAACAAAGAAAATTTTCTTTATCGACGAAATCATCTTCACAGGCTGGCTGTACAGTCGTATTTATACTTAGAAAAATGTATAGTGGTCTATTATTGAATAATAAAGGGTGACATAATTGATATAATTACTCAGAGGTGGCTTTAGAAGTGAAAATTAAAAGTTGTAAATTACGTAGTACTCAACGGTAAAAAGATAGAAGTTTGATAAGGTTAGAATTTCTACTGAGTCAGAATAAAGATGGTAGTTGACTGTCAATTTAACAAGTGTGAAGAGGGTGTGAAAATATACAAAAGGAGTATATTAGAGTGGTAATAGTGAATTAATTATTAAAGCAAAAGTAAACCAAAAGTCAAATTAAAAAAGGAAAGAAAAAATCAAAATTTTTTACAGGGAACGATTAGTGAAGAGGTTAAGACCAAGGTAGAATAAGAGACTGGACAAACTTTTTCTGTATAGAAAGTTCAGGGTTGTATTTATGAACTACCAGTGCCTCCACCATACACAAAAGCCGAAACCTGACGTCCTTTGTACTATTTGGCTTCACTTTGTAGACGCCATTGAGTACTACGTAATTTACAACTTTTAATTTTCACTGCTAAAGCCACTTCTGAGTATTATTATTATTATTGTATCCTTTAGTTCCTAGAGGAACATAGGGCTTCAGCTGCGCACCTCCATTGACTTCGGTTTTCTGACAACTTTTTCACCCTGCTCCAGGTCTGTCCACATGCTTTCATCTCCTCCTCGCATGACCTCCTCCAAGTCACCCTTGGACGACCAACTCGCCGCCTCCCTTTCGGGTTCCACTCGAGGGCTTGTCTAGTGATGTCACTTGATGGTTTCCTCAGCGTATGGCCAATCCATCTCCATTTCTTTCTGCCTATTTGTTTCACAATCGGTTCCTGATTGGTTCGCTCCCAGAGATCCCTGTTGCTGATCTTTTCTGGCCATCTGATCTTGAGTATTGAGCGGAGACAGTTGTTAATGAAGGTTTGAAGTTTGTTTGAGATGCTCTTTATGACTCGCCAAGTCTCTGATCCGTATAGTAGCACTGACTTCACATTGGAGTTGAAAATCCGGATCTTATTTTTGATGCTGATTGCTGTTGACCTCCACACAGATTTGAGAGTAATGAAAGCTTGTCTTGCTTTTCCGATTCTGGCTTTGATGTCCTCGTCAGTTCCGCCTGTAGTTGAGACGATGCTTCCCAGGTAGGTGAAGGAGGTTGTTTCTTTCAGGTTCTTCCCATTTATGCTTATTGTGGTCTGTTGTTGTTGTTGATGTTGGCTAGGAATCTTCATCATCTCTGTTTTATCTATGTTCACGTGAAGTCCTATCTTTGATGCTTCTTCTGCCAACTTGTTACTTTTCACTTGCATATCTTCCAGTTTATGGGAAATCAGACATATATCATCGGCGAAATCCAGATCCTCCAAGTCTTTTGTGTCAGTCCATTTTATGCCTGTTCCCTCGTTGGTTGCCGTTGTCTGTCGCATTATCCAATCAATTGCAATCAGGAAGATCATTGGTGATAGTAGACAGCCTTGCCTCACTCCCGTCCTCACTTCGAAGGCTTCCGTAAGTTTCCCGTTGTGGATTACTTGGCATGCAGCATTGTCGTATAACTGTTGGATGAGGTGTATAATTGTCGATGGGACCCCGTAGTAGCGAAGTAGTTTCCAAATGACCTCTCGATCGACGCTGTCGAAGGCCTTTTCAAAGTCGATGAAGTTGAGATAGAGAGGTGACTGCCATTCCAAGCTTTGTTCAATGATGATCCGTAGAGTGGCGATTTGATCAATACATGATTTGTTTCTCCTGAATCCAGCCTGTTCCGGACGAAGTTTTTCATCTAGGGCTTGTTTGATTCTCTCCAGGATGATGCGACTTAGTATCTTGCTTGGAATGGACAGAAGCATAATTCCACGCCAGTTTTTACATTGACTTAAGTCTCCTTTCTTTGGAAGTTTGAATAAGTAACTGTTCTTCCAATCCTCGGGTACTTTGCCCTCTTTCCACACCTTCTCCAGCAGTGGTGTCATCAAGTCCGCTGTTGTCTCTGGGTCTATTTTCAAAGCCTCTGCTGGGATTCCATCTGGTCCCGGTGTTTTCCCAGTTTTAAGCATCTTGATTGCATTCAGGACTTCTGATTTCGTCGGGGGGTCAGTGTTCACTGGTAGTTCTGCTTCCGTTGTTGGTATTGCTGGACGTGTTGTAGGTGGCGGACGATTTAGAAGTCTTTTGAAGTGTTCAACCCAGTGCTTTCTCTGTTCCACCTCTTTGGTGATTGACTTTCCATTGTCGTCCTTTATTGGCTTAATCTGTGTCGAACGTTTGCCCGAAAGGTTCCTAGTTGTTTGGTAGAGTGTGGCGAGGTCTCCTTTGCCTGCAGCTTGTTCTGCTTCGTTTGCCATGGTTTCATAATATTTTCTTTTGTCTTCCCTGGCACTTTTCTTCACTCTTTTGTTCAGTGTATTGTAGCTTGCATTCAGCTCCTGTTTTTGTTGCTCGTCAGTGCACTGGATAATCTTTTGCTTCACTGTCCTTCTCTCTTCTATTAGTTTCCAAGTGTCCGTAGTGAGCCACTGTTTGTCCTGTCTCTTTTTTCTGCCTAGAATTTCTATGCAGGTTTGGCTCCACACCGTTTTCAAGTTGTTCCAGTGCTTTTCAACGCCGACCTTTTCGCTAGTGTTGATTTGTGTCTCGGCTTTGTCCTTTATGCTTGCAATGAAGATGTCCTTTGTAGCCTGGTCCTTCAGCTTTTGAGTGTTGAACTTGGCTTGTGGTCTATCTGCAGCTCCTGATTCCCTGAAAGCTTTTAATTTGATTTGGATTGTCCCTTGTACGAGATAGTGGTCTGAGCCAACGTCTGCTCCTCTTCTTGCTTTTGTGTCCAGTAGGCTGCGCCTCCACTTCCTTGAGATTGAGATGAAGTCGATTTGGTTTTTGGTTTGCCCGTCTGGTGACACCCATGTAGCCTTGTGGATATCTTTGTGCTTGTATACACTGCCACCAATCACCAGTTCGTTGAAGGCGCAGAAGTCGGCGAAGAGTTCTCCGTTTTCATTCATTTCTCCTAGAGCTTCTCTACCCATGATGAGTTCCCTTCCCGTATTGTCTGGTCCCAGTTTGGCGTTCATGTCTCCCATTAGTATTTTCATGTCGCCAGCTGGAGTATTGTCCATTGTTGCCTGTAGTTGCCTGTAGAATTCTTCTTTCTTCTCGAGGTCTGCGTTGTTTGTGGGTGCATAACATTGTATGATTGACACTTTCCTTCCTTTGGAGTTGAACCTGGCGGTCATTATCCTGGACGAAATCGCCTCCCATTGTATCAGGGCTTTCGTTGCCGTTGGTGACATCATGATAGCCACGCCCTCGGTGTGCGTGTGGTTATCTTCTGGGTGACCGGAGTAGATCACTGACTCACCTGTTGACAATTTGGTGAGTCCACTCCCATTCCATCTGCTCTCACATATTCCCAGCACTTGTATTCCGTATCTTTTCATCTCGTTGGCGATCTGGGCAGCTTTCCAGTCTCGTACATAGTTCGGACGTTCCATGTTCCTACACAGACTTTTTCTTTTGGTGCAAGGAGGTTCATCATACTGAAGTTTCTTAGCAATTTTTGTTTACAGGGTGGGGTTGCTAGCCTCACGCCTGAGAAAAGAATGATTACATTAAGTAAAAGTTTAGAGAGAAGCAACTTTTTGGGTTGCTCCCCTCAAAATCAGAAAATAACGGACAAACAATGAGAACAACATCAACAAAGGAAACAGTTCACAGAAAAAAGGGCAAAAAGCGACGACAACTATACAATAAGACAACATGCAATATAGTTCAGTATTTGTTAACTAAAATGATATCTTAACCATAAACTCACTGACTTGGAGCAACTTGAACATATAAATCCAACAATATATACAATTATAGATGTGTTTATGTTTAAAAATTCCACAAATCCAAACAGTTAGTTATGTGTATTATCTGTCAATAAGATTGTATTTTTTGGATTCAGTGTTCGAAAGGTTAATAATTGTGATAATTTCCGCAAACTCTTTGCATAAAATTTTACAGTAATAAGAGTTTTTATTAATGAGCAAAATGTAGCGTAATAATCAAAGGCATACAACCTGAGTGCATCAAATACAATTTTATGATAAATATCACCATTTATCAACGCCACTTTATATTGCAATGGATGCTGGTATTTTTGGAAGAACAAAGTTTACAAAAGCTGTAAGGTTATTTACTTCTGAGTAATTATATCAATTATGTCACCCTCTAATAGACCGTTATGTATTTTTCTAAGTATAAATACGACTGTACAGTCAGCCTGTGAAGATGATTTCGTTGATAAAGAAAATTTTCTTCGCTGAATCTGTCTTTTATTTCCTTCATGATTAAATTGGTAACCATCGAAGGTTACAAACGTTTGGATTTCATTCATCTCTTCCTGTAATAACTAACCAGTCTTCGGCTCAATGGCTTCTGAGGCCTAAACCAAGCAGTACAAATGAGAAAATTCAACCTCTCTTTGCCTCTTCCTTCCTAGAAGTATTTTGTACTGTTCACCTCCTAATTGGAGAATTTCACAGCCTGTGATGTAGATATACTCATCTGACGAGCCCCATATAGCACAAAATGAGCATTGCGGATCTCACTGCTAGTTACCATCAGTCAAAATAACTTCACACTAATCCTTAGATATTGGTGAAGCGTCCGTCCTAGAAGATGGCATGTTAATAAGGACTGAGCATTTTCATTGAATGAAATCATATGGTGGGAAATTCAAAAATTTCAAATTTTATTCAATGTTTTATAGCATATACTGCACGTAGCTTTAACTTTAATAATAACGATGAATATACAGAGTCGTTGTGCACATTCTGTTGTCTTTTTTTATCTTATATAGCTGATCAAAGGATTTCTACCAGGCATGCTTGGCACGTCAGTATCGTCAAACTGTTCAAATCACACCAACAATAGTCCTGCACGTGGTCATATTGTATTTGTATCCTCTGGTGGGGGAGTATTACCAGTTCCTCGGTATACAGATTATTGTGCAACTAAAGCAGCCGGTTTATTGTTATCGGAAAGTTTAGAATTAGAATTGAAAGAGATGGGTGTTGCTGACCAAATACACATCACTCGTGTTATACCGCATATTGTAAGAACGAAATTAGCCGGACTTATTACAGGATCGTGAGTTTCTCAGAAATTATTTATTATTATTGTTATAATTTTTACTATTACTATTGTTGGATTAATGAATCTTAAATCAAAGCAAATCCGATTGTTTTAACAGAATTTGGTTTGCAGGATTTGATGAAATGACGACACTGATGGTTGACAGCGATATAAATCACACGTTGATAGAAGTAAGAATTAATCAACTCATTGGCTAAAATGACCAACGAGTTCGTCTTGAAACCTGGAGGCTCTGTGTTTGACTGCTAGTGGTGGAGTGATGGATGTAATGACTCAAACCTACCCGTCATAACCTGAATGCCGTGAATTGATTTCTGCATCCTGACGTATAGCTGTTCAAAACTTTCTTGAGAAACAAACAATCACGAAACACTCCACAGGCAGTAAAAAGACAATTATTTGGGATTGAAATCTACGTGTGATTCTAATCAATAATGATAATAGTATAATAATAATAATACTAAAATGAAAAACTCAAAACTATCTCAACAGTGCCATTAGACAGCCAGTCATACAGGTAGTGTAGGTTTCTGAGGACAAAACAACTACTGTAAAACACAAGTGGTTGATTAGAATTCAACTGTAAGAAGTACCTCAGAATCAAGTGGAATATTCTTAGGTGGAGCGGAATCACGCATCACCGCTTCCCGCAGACAGTTTCAGATCAGAACGACCATGATTCACTCAAACAACAATTAATATATAAAAACAAAAGAAGATAAATTAGATAAAAAGAAAAAAATGTGATTGCAAACATCAAAATAATTATATGTAATATAGGAGGCTAACGGATAACACTCTCAAAGAACCTGAAAGAAACAACCTCCTTCACCTACCTGGGAAGCATCGTCTCAACTACAGGCGGAACTGACGAGGACATCAAAGCCAGAATCGGAAAAGCAAGACAAGCTTTCATTACTCTCAAATCTGTGTGGAGGTCAACAGCAATCAGCATCAAAAATAAGATCCGGATTTTCAACTCCAATGTGAAGTCAGTCAGTGCTACTATACGGATCAGAGACTTGGCGAGTCATAAAGAGCATCTCAAACAAACTTCAAACCTTCATTAACAACTGTCTCCGCTCAATACTCAAGATCAGATGGCCAGAAAAGATCAGCAACAGGGATCTCTGGGAGCGAACCAATCAGGAACCGATTGTGAAACAAATAGGCAGAAAGAAATGGAGATGGATTGGCCATACGCTGAGGAAACCATCAAGTGACATCACTAGACAAGCCTCGCTCGAGTGGAACCCGAAAGGGAGGCGGCGAGTTGGTCGTCAGTGCAAGGGTGACTTGGAGGAGGTCATGCGAGGAGGAGATGAAAGCATGTGGACAGACCTGGAGCAGGGTGAAAAAGTTGTCAGAAAACCGAAGGCAATGGAGGTGCTCAGCTGAAGCCCTATGTTCCTCTAGGAACTAAAGGATACAATAATAATAATAACAATAATAGGAGGCTAACGGATAACACTCTCAAAGTTAGCTGAAACGTCCGGTTAAGTATAAATATTATGATCAGATCATCCAGGAGGGATTTTCTTAGGAATCTTACCGTTATAATGGATACGTACAACTGAAGAGTATCAAACTAGGACGAAATAACTGTTCAGTATACTTCCTGGTTTTCAGTAGTTCTCTAACTAATATCAATCCATGATCTAACTTGTTATCAAGCTAGATTAATTCCATTTAAAATCTTCTTTCTACTGAGAAATGTGAATACTTTTCAAGTATTGGTTTTGTAGGGATTTTGTTTGATTGGTTGGAGGATTTCATCATGAGCTGACATTAGTTAGAGAAGCTGTGGAAAACCTGCTGGGAGTACTGGACAGCTGTTCCTCATTCCATTGTTTTCCGAGTGAAAAACTGGACAATCTTAAAGATTGCGCTTCGAAGTTTCAGTAACAGTGTCGTTAATTTTACGTAGTGAGGCAGGCACACTTAAGACCATGAAGAGGGTGGATTGATCATATCTTCACTCTTCGACAGATTCTAGAACATAGGCATTCTTACCGGCATCCAACAATCGTTATATTTTTTGACCTAAAGGCGGTATTCGATTCTGTCGACCGAAAGGTACTCTGGCGATGATTGATTGTAAAGGGAATGCCGAGAAGATACATTGCACTGATTAAGGCACTCTACTGAAACTCATGCAGCCAGGTGAGGGCTTACGGCGAGTTGTCATCTGAAATGGTGACGACTAGTGGTGGCCGTCACGGATGCCATTATCCCATTATCCTAGTTTGTAAATAGGGAGTGAAGTGGTAGAGCATGTTGACCAATTCACATATTTGGGAAGTACCATCAGCCAATGCCAACGGCTTGATCTCTGACGAAATCGCAGTATGGAAACAGAGGGCCAGTTTCGCATATGCCAGTTTACGCCGTCTCTGGCTTAGACGTGATATCCGGCTGGTTATCGACCAAAGGGGAGTGTACTGCTCAGCAGTTCTCTCAGTCCTCATGTATGGCTGCGACACCTGGCTATTGAGAGTGGAAGAGATTAAACGACAAGCTGTCTTTGATCATAGGTGCCTGCGTTCTATCTTCAGTGTAAAGTGGTATAATAAGGTGAGCAATATTGAGGTTAGGCTTCGGTCGAGTGCTAGGTAGGTGAAAGGGGAAATCAGTCGATGAGGCTTTAGAGTTACATCGACTGAAATGGTTAGGACATGTGTTACGTATGCATAGTCATCGCCTTCCTCGACAATGGGCAATGTTAGCCGACTGACATAGGGTCAGGCTGGAAAAGAGCTAGCGAAGGTCAAACCAAAACATGACTTCATCAGTCAATGAAATCCACAACAGTTAGTTTAATCCAGCCCACCACGTAGGAAGGTGTAGACTTCCACACTGGTTGGGGTCCTCAGGACGGTAAAAACCAATGAAGGCTGGAAACAATTGGTAATATGGCTCAAAATCGTTCTCAATGGCTGGTTCAGATGCATCCACTCCTTATGACTTATGATTTCCAATGAAACTGTTTTGTTCTTCGTTACTACTATTCCTTTGTCTCACACCTCTGTTTACTGTCTCTAGTATGCATTTCTTCTACTTTCTTCTCTTGCTTTGTGTGCTACATGAACAAAACTGTAAAAATTGGTCACTTGTCCTGCCCATGTCGATTTTCTGTTAACAGATCTTTGCAAAGACCTATCAACTCTCCTTGTGAGTATCACATTAAGTCAGGATGACGGTCATTGAATACGCTCAAGATATTATCCAAGTCATAGTTCTCATCGCATATAATGAACATGTCATCCACGTATTTTTGCAGGAGTTAAGCTCCTTTATAGGATGCTTTAGAGTACCGCTCTCCGTACTAGCCAAAAAGAAATCTGCTAGCAACAGACCAGGTGGCGAACCCATAGATACCCCATCTCTCTCTGTCTATACATTTCGCCGCTGAAAATAAATTTGGACACTTAAAGTACATCGAAGTATGAGGTCTTTTGGATATGCTGTGGGCATTCCTACGTTGACATTATCTAAGTCTATGTAATTACAAATCAGACATACAGTTCCATTTTTAATGGAACATTGGTAAAAAGTAAGCATACTTCAAGTGGTAACACAGTTTCCCACTAACATTAATATCATTAACGCTGTTAACAAGTTCAACAACATTATTCTGGTAGGTACGTATATAAATTTCTATTAGTGTGTTCCATTTGATTTTAATGCCTGGTTCTAGAAACTTTCTTTTCTAAACACAGGAAATCTCCATTAATCCAACTGTTAGAACCAGATGAATGTGCCAGACAGATTGTGGACGGTGTTCTTCAGAACAAGTCAGTTGTTTACATTCCTCGTATTGTTCGCCTAATGGCTATCTTAAAAATGTAAGTAAATTTTACGATGTCCTCGACTAGTTTGTCTACTTCAATGAAAATTTCTCTGTCATTTTGTATTCTCCCTCTTTTTTGTAATTTTATCATCAGTCGACATACTATTTAAAGAATCTTCAGAAAGCATTCAGCGTGAGACGTCTAATTCTAATGATTGTCACCCACGACCCACAGGCGAACAAATACGCAAAATTCACTCATAATGAGACAAGTATATCTCATCTCTCAGCCATCAAAGCAGAATCCACTGAACAGGGAGAGGGGAATTTTAGCTCTAGTCAGCTGGCAGTATAGTTAGGTGTTCCCATACCTAACATAGAAAAGACCCACCTTACTACTACTTCATAAGGAATTATGATGACATCCATTGGAAAACCAGTCAGTAGTGAACATGAGATTGTTACTCAGGTGTTAAGCTCAAATAACTACTGGCTAGGTGTTATTAACATGGAAATTGTCTTCATTATTCCGACTAAAGCACTACTTAATAAGCATAAACGTATAAACGAACTGCTTTACCATATTGGCTGTCTAGCTGTAAGAAACTGTCTAACACATCTGAGGGTTCATTTAAGAATAAGCTTGAAGAATCTAGGATAAATAGCACATAACTGGACACTTCGACTTACTTCATCATATATTTATACATTGCTGACTGATGGTAACGTCCACGCGTAGAAGAGTATACACAAGGTGACACAGATTTCATCTGTTGGACACACTTAAAGTCAGACAAACCTCATCTGAAATCTAAGAAAGTGGAGATACAGTCTGCTAGACAGAAGAAGAGAGAGAGAGAGACTGGAGAAAGATCATAATTCAAATTCAACATCGAGGAAATTGAAAGATGAAAAGACAAAGGATAGTTTTATTGCAATCACCATAGGAAAAGTTGCGAACGTTAAACAAAATTAACAAGGAAATCTTATGTGAAAGAACACTGAAACCTACTGAAACCCTTATGGACATTTTAGGAAGGAAGAAGAAGCAGGGCAAGGAATGGTTGTCCATAGATACGGAGAAGCTAATTGAGGAGAGAAGGATAGTGAAACACAGGATAAACCAGTGCAAAGATGGACAACGGAAGGAGTAGCTGAGTTCGGTGTACAACATGCACTGAAGTCAGTGAAAGACAGTGAGGCAAACCCATTTGCCATACGTAGGAAACTAAAGAAACGTTAAACAGATCAATTTTTGACCGAGTACTGCCAGCACAATCTATCGAGAAGTATCATCAGGAGACAAACTACTCAAGACTACTACTCATCCGAAGAAAGCAGAAGTTTTGAAAGCTGAAAAAGCAGTAAGACCACATGAACTTCCTCCAGAAACACTGAAAACGGACACACAGACCTCAGAGCACATGATCATCTCACTAGTGGAAGAGATTTAGAAGGAAAGTAGGGTACCTGCTGAACAGAAGAAGGAAGAAATTTCCTGTCAAACAACCAAAAAAGGACAACCTAAATCTATAATACCACTGGTGTGTCGTCCAACTGATGTCCATTCCAATCATAATTAATAAAAAAGTTACTTAAGCCCATACTCAGGAAAAATAAGAAAAAATCAAATGAAAATTCTTGTTTCTCAGTGTAGGTGTCCAGAGCTCCCAAGGATTTTAAATGATATTTACTAGTTTTCAAGTATTGGTTTTATATAGGGATTTTGTTTGAGTACATAGAGAATTTCATCATGAGCTGACATCGGTTAGAGAACCATTAGAAAACCAGCGGGGAGTACTGCCAGACAGCTGTCTCCTCCGTCCTAGTTTTAAGGACTCTTCATCAGTACGCACCCACCGCCAGGATTTGAACCCAGGACCTTCTGGTTACAAGGTGGGAGAGCCAGCTAACTTGTAAACCATTGAGCCACTGGGACCTGATCCATTGGCAAGTCCATGAATTCTAACTTCTGCCAATTCACAACATAGCGTGACCATTCGTAATGTCTTCTTCGGATGAATTACTGCCTCGTCTAGTATGGAATCTGCATTCAAAAGGATAGTATTCCCACATGCATAATATATTTTTAAATCAACTTCTTGATCAATAATGACTGCATTCAGAATGACGTTATGAAGTCCTACGAAGAAATGGTAACCAGTAGGGTTCTCACAGTCTTAGGTGTAAATAGATTCTCACCAACAATATGAACTATATGTGTCAAACTTTGGAACTGTGGTACTAAGTAAATCCATATTAGTTTGTTTATTAGATGTATCACTCAGTGATGAAACAGTATTATTTACTGGATGACAAAGTTTCGAACAAAATTTATTGTTCATAATCATATCAATTGTATTCACACGACTTTGAAACTCGAGTTTTATAGTTTTCTTTGTCCTCTCCTATTTGTCGTCGTAGGGGTAGTAGAATTTTCCAGATGTCCAGCTGGACAGGTGTTGAATCATTCTTATTACATGTATTTTCAGTTGATTCGATAAACAAGCTTCTGTTATCAATGTCTCCCTCCACCATGTGACATTACATTTTATAACTGTCATCCTATCCCATCTATCCTATTGTATGGTTGTGTGTGACTCCATGTAGTGAGTGCTATAGCTGAACTATTCTCTAGATTTCTTATCTTATTTGGGTCAACCAATCTAGATCTTGCCAGGTTTCTATGCTCCCCTAGTCTCACTGAAACGTTCAGCCCCACTACGAAAGTATGGTGGAGGAATGTAGATGACACATTCACTGTATTTAGAACACAGGATGTGGGTAGATTTTTCGAACACATTAACTCAAGTGTGTAGGCAATTCAATTCACTTATGAATTGGAAAGTCAGGAAGGGGAACTTCCAATGTTAGATTGTAGCATAAAAAGGAAAGAAGATGGGAAGTTAAACACTAATGTTTACAGGAAGCCCACACATTCAAACAGATATTTGGACTTCTGATCATCCCATCCTATGTCAGTAAAAATTGGATTGGTTAAACGTTTAGGTGACAGAGCACAAAAACTAAGTAGTACCAAAGAAAATCTAAGACGGGAAGTGATACACATAAAAGAAGCCTTGAAACTTAATAATTACCCTGATAAATTAGTCAGGAAGTATGCAGGAAAACGTAAAAATAAAATAAATAATGATAGTGGTAATAATTAGAATATTAATGATGACATACATGTCAAACATGCACTGAATAATGACAACACCAACAATAAGGAATCTAAATCATCAGTAGTGATACCATACAAGGAAGGAACCTCGGAAACCTTACGCAGAAGTCTTAACAAGGCAGCCAGCAATAAAAGTGGCTGGAATTCAAACCATCCACGAACTCAATTAGAAACAAGCTTTGTCGGTTAAAGGATCAATCCTGGGGAGCTTTCAAAACAAAACAATTCAGTCCACCTAATACCCTGCTGGAATGATTGTCAGGTCAAATACATAGGTCAAACTAGTACAAGAAGGACAGTCAGACTAGCGGAGCATAGAAACCTAACAAAATCTAGATTGGTTGACCCAAATAAGATAAGAAATCTAGAAAATAGTTCGGCTATAGCACTCACTACATGCAACTACACACAACCATACAATAGGATAGATGGGATAGGATGACAGTTATAAAATGTAATGTCACAGGGTGGAGGGAGAGATTGATAACAGAAGCTTTGTTTATCGAATCAACTGAAAATACATGTAATAGGAAAGATTCATCACCTGTCCAGCTGGACATCTGGAAAATTCTACTACCCCTACGACGACGAATAAGAGAGGACAAAGAAAACTATAAAACTCGAGTTTCAAAGTCGTGTGAATACAATTGATATGATCACGAACAATAAATTTTGTTCGAAACTTTGTCATCCAGTAAATAATACTGTTTCATCACTGTGTGATACATCTAATAAACAAACTAATATAGATTAATATGAACTAGTTTTTATTAGCGCTAAATTTTTAGGGAATAGCAGATAAAATCCATGGTTCATTGGATCCGATCTTATCGGCTAAGTAATAATCTGCTCTAGTCAATCACATTAAGCTTGTATATTCAACAAATAAAGTAGTTATCACAATAAGCACTACTAAAGAGTCCAAATTCAGAAGCACTGTCTAGCTTTCAAATGACTGTTCAATTTTCAATAGTTTTGTGACGAAACATTAAAGAAAAATTAATCGAATTCATACAAATTAGTCATCTCATTAATTTACTTAGGCATGACATTTCACTTGTATATCCTTCAGTTTATACATCATGTGAATTGTATTTGTATAATTAAATTTGTCTAATTCCATTATGGGTAAAATTTATTTTAATAAAGTCTCACAGTGTTTTTGATGTGGTTTTGTTCTCTGAGCTGGGTGGTTAGTTTGCGAAGCTTTCATCACCCTACTGGGTGACATATCCAGCGCATACTTCAATTTGAAGTGAGCTTTTAGATTTCTCCACGAGTTTATTAATCATCTCTCCTGGTGGGTGATCTTGAACCTCGTGATTGGTTGTCTTTGTGTGTTTTCACACCTTCTAGGCACCTACTTGTATTGGAACTGATTGTTTCTTTGACTTGAACTTTGACCATTTGTGTGTGAAGTTTTTTTTTTATTGTGATAAATTTTGTCTATCTCGATGTGTCTATTGATTGATGATCCACTGGAATGCCAGGCTGGCTTCTAAAAATTCTCTAGAATTCTTGTTATTTCCTTTGTCTAATATTTGAACGTTGTCCCAGTCGAATTGATGTCCGTAGTTGTCTGTGTGTAGTGAAATGAGGGAGTGGATATCATGTCTTTTGACGGCTAGCTTACGTTCGTGGATACGAAGACGAAGGGGACGTCCACTTTGGCCAATGTAGTGTTTTTCGCACTTGTTATAATTTATTTTGGAGATGATATTGGTTTTATCTTCTATCACTGTTGAGTCTTTTGGTTGACACAGAATTGATTGAAGTGCCTCTGTTGGTTTGTGTACGACGTCGATTCCTAAAGGTTTGAAGAGTCTTCTAGTGATTTCTGAGATATCCTTTATATATGGTAAGGCGATTTTCTTTGTGCTTTCCTTGGGGGCTTTTGCTTTGGTAGGTTGGCTTGAGGGTATATGTCTCTTGATGAAATTTCATCAATAAAGTCTCATAGTGTTTGTTATACAGTAGTAATATTTACTGATGATCACGTTTCGAGCACAGTTTTATTACTCCTCATAAACATAACATATCACAATAACCTTGAGATGATAAATAAATTTTACTTCATAATGGAACTATACTCTACCACAGTGTACAAGTTTTATTCTTGTATATAACTTTGTCTGCTTTTCTTTTCTTTCAGTCTGTCACCGAACTATGCAATGTCTGCCACTAGAAAGTATTTTCGACAAAAGTTACTTTTCTCGACCAAAGAAACAAAATAGAAGCTTGTAGTCGGCAAGAGAATATTTAAATTTTTCTTTTTAAATCTTTTTTCTGCACCATATTGATTGTTTTTTTATTGAACACAGATATGTGTCACTACACGAAATATGACTAGAACTAACTGTCTTTAGCAAAAACTATCTTTATGATGATATACATAGTTACATCAGACGTGAGGTGAAAGCATTTAGCGCGTACTTTATGTGACGAAGACTCTGTTAGACGTGAAACTTATAAGTTACTATGTAATTAGCACAGTAAATCGACCCCTTCATTGTTCATCTTTCTGTATTATATGGTGTCACCCTTTCTATCGTTTAATTATAACTCTGCTATTTTTTTAACTGGTATTACTATTATTACTACAATTTTGTACTTTATACATATTTTTCTCCGTATGGCACACAGTATTTTGCTACGTAGCTGCTACAACAATCGTTTTATTACTATTATGTATTGTGTATTTTGAATTTCTTTTTTTTGTCGTTTTTGGGTAAATTAGATGCAATATTGTACTGAATGCTGAAAATTCCTTGCTGTATCATGAGTACTGTTTTTGGAATAAAGCAACTATTAATATTATTATTATTACTCAGAGTTTGTAAAGGTTTAAAATGAGTAAATGATCTGTGTTATGATGAAATAAATACTTTTCGTATGATGGATCTTTTAGGTGATCGTAATCGGTTTGAAAGTAGGTTTTTAATCATGAATTGAGAATCACTGGCGTGACGTGTGCTACTGACAAGATTTGTCAGTAGTTTATAGACTCCACGAAAATTGAAAGCATCATTTTGAGACAGTGGTTACATAAGTTTTGTCATTATTATTATTATTCCCTTGGGTTTCAAGTGGAACATAGGCTTCAACAATACATCTCCACTTTCTTTTATTTCTTACTATCCTCTTTAGGTGGGTCCACGGTCACCTACAATCTCCCATCTCCTACATGTCACTTCCCATTCGGATTCCACTGGATTGATGACCTGCACTTTGCGCGATTTCATTCGGCGGCCTCCTCAATGGTGTATGGCACATCAATCTCCATATTCTCCTACATATTTGTTGGGCGATGGGCTCTTGGTTGGTTTCTTCCCAGCTAGAGTTTTTTGTTATTAATTCTTTCTTGCTGGATGGCCATTTGATCAAATCGCCACACTACGGATCATCATTGAACAAAGCTAGGAATGACAGTCATCTCTCTATCCCACTGAACTTCATGGACTTTGTATAGGCCTTCGACAGCGTCGATTGAGAGGTCATTTGTCAACTACTTCGCTACTACGAGGTGCCATCGACAATTATATATCTCATCCAACAGTTGTACGACAATAATGCGTGCAAAGTAATCCACAACGGGAAACTTACGGAAGCCTTCGAAGTGAGGACGGGAGTGAGGCAAGGCTGTCTGGCTGCCTACTATCACCAATGATCTTCCTGATTGCAGTAGATTGTATAATGCGACAGACACAGAGCGGGTAACGAGGAAACAGGCATAAAATGGACTCACACAAAAAAGTACTTGGAGGATCCACACTTCGCCAATGGTGACATATGTCTGATTTCCAACAAAGTGAAAGATATGCAAGGGAAAAGCAACAAGTTGACAGAAGAAAAAACCAGAGAAGATAGGAGGGACTTCAGGTGAACATAGATAAAACAGAGTTAGGTGATGAAGATTCCTGGCCAACACTAACAGCAACAACAACAACAGACAACAATCAGCCAGTATAAATGGGAGGAACCTGAAAGAAACAACCTCCTTCACCTACCCACCTACCTGGGAAGCATCGTTTCAACTACAGGCCCATGGAACTGACGAGCATATCAAAGCAGCGAGGATGGGAAAAGCAAGACAAGCTTTCATTACTCTCAAATATGTGTGGAGGTCAACAGCCACTACTCAGAATCAAAAATAACATCCGGATCAGAGACCTGGCGCGTCATAAAGAGCACCTCAAACCAAATACAGACCTTCATTAACAGTTGTCTTCGCTCAATACTACTCAAGATCAGATGGCCGACCAGAAAAGATCAACAACAGGGATCTCTGGCACTGAGAAAACCAACCCACAAGGAACCGATTGTGAAACAAATCTGAAGGGAGAAATGGAGATGGATTGGCCATACTCTGAGAGAACAAACCATCAGGTGACATCACTAGACAAGCCATCGCTCGAGTGGAACCCGACTGAAAGGGAAGCGGCGAGTTGGTCGTCAGTACGAGGGCGGGGTGACTTGGAGGAGGTCATGTGAAGAGGGGATGAAAGCGTGTGGGGAGACTTGGAGGAGGGGTGAAAACGTTGGCAGAAGACCGAACTCAATGGAGACGTTTGCCTGAAGCCCAATGTTCCTTTAGGAATTAAAGGAAATAACAATAAATAATCATAATAATGAAGCCAGCCAACGATGCGAGCAGTTGTTGATAAAGCTTTGCAATAGCCTGGTGGTAATGCTTTTTGTGGCGCACAGTGCGAATTTTTGACTTGTATAGAAACACCAACTGACTAACTTCACATCTGTGTTGAAAATCCTGATTTTGTTCCTTATACTGAGTGACGCCAGAAGATTTCAAAAGTGGTTTCAGGTTGATGAAGGCGTATCTCACCTTTCCGATTCTGGCTGGCTGGCTGGCTGGCTGACTTTGACATCTTCATCCATGCAGTCGCCTCTAGTTGAAGCGATGCTTCTTAGATAAGTGAACGAGGTAGCCTCTGTCAAGTGTCTCCAATGAATGATGATTGGTGCTGGTTGTTGTTGTTGATGTTGTTTGTTGATGTAATCAGAATATGAAAGTGCTATTATACATATATTCCAACTTCCTTTTAACAGCATCATTCATCAGTACTAGTATAACTTAGTTGACACATTTACGTTTACATACAAAAATGTGAGTTTAACGTCTTTGTATAGTGGCTTATTATATGCAGATTGACTGAAATGCAATCTTGGAGTCTGTCTGTTACGATATCGTTCATGACATTAGTCAATTATCAAATCACGGAAAATACCCATCGGAACATTAGATTGAAAAGAACAAGAAGTTCAGCAGAGATGGAGATCTTTTCGGCGATTTCATTCTCAAAAGTACCTGTACCATCGCCCTTATATAGACTAGTTTACATGAATACAATTATTATTTGCTTAATTCCACATAGTAACGAAGGTGATAATCATTTTCAACTTGATACGAATTACAAGAGGCTTTAGAGACAAAAAATTACACAGGATTAGAATATAATTGAAAAATGGTTCTTCTAATCGGATGACAAGTGTGATCAGCAGGAGTATGGAAACAAACTTAAAACAACTGATTTTATAACTGAAAAAATGGGATGAATTGAATGAAGACAAAGAGAGAAAATTACACACACACACACACAGAGAACAAAACGAAAAACCAAAAACAAAATAGTCAAGGGAAAATACCGTACTAGGTCCATGTTAGTTGTAAAGGCTGGACTAGTTTCCTTTGAACACATTGCTCCGGCTTTTCGATGCATACGGCGAGAGCTTCCGCAGTACAAAGAAGTCTGAAACGCACTGCCTTTGGTAGATTTTTGTTTACTTTGTAAATGACTCTGAATGATGAGTTAGTTGAGACGTTGTGACAGGTATTGACGAGGTTTTCAGTTATGTCACATCTAGTTGAACCAGTGCCTCTTCTTTGCAGCCATGCTGGATGATGTTCTCTAACACGTTTTGATAAGTCCCACATAGAACAACCTATGTACCTAGCTCCGCAAGAGCAGGTGAACTGATATATGCGCATTGAAGTGGTCATATGCAGAAGTCTATCTTTGACGTCGCTCCGAAGTAGTCTATAAACAAACCACTATAATACAAACTTTAGGAAATATATTGCATTTATTTTCTACCAAGTGGCTAAACAATAACACTCTAACAACAAGGCGCGACTAATCATGACTACATGGATGAGCAACTTGAGTAGTTAGTCAGTCTTTGAAATAAACACGGTGAAAGATGTACCCTATAAGAAAGTATTTGAAGTAATTCAAATATCCTTTAGAGATTTTATTTCATGCTTGATACTACTATCAGAACAAATTTTCTGTGCTCTGTTCAACAGTGTTTTTACTAAGTTCTTTTTATACTGGATTGGAGCAAAGCTCTTGAAATGCATGTACTGTCCTGTCCATGAAAACTTTTTTAAATATAGATCTTTCGATAGTGCTAGAAAAAAGTCTAGGAATTTATTAGTATCGTTTTCTTCGTGTTCTACTGTGAAATTGAGATTTGGATGGCATGAGTTGAATTTTATCAACATGTCTTTGGGTTTTGATCTGCTTCCACAGACAATATAAATGTCATCAACATATCTTAGGTATACATCCATCTCTTGTATATGTTGCTGCAAGGTATCGGTTTCTAAGCTTGACGAGAATAAGTCAGCGAAAAGTGGTCCCAAAGGGCTTCCCATTGCGACACCATCAACTAGAAGGAATAGACACCCGTCGAATTGGAATTGGACATTTTTAGTACATAAAAGTAACAATTTCCTCAATTCCGATGTTGGAATCGGTATGTCTTCATCTCCTTTACATATGAAGTCGATAGTCTCAATGACTGGCACATTTGGGAAGACGGAGGTAACATCGAAGTAGACCAAATGCTTATCAGATACATTGAAATCTTTAATTCGCTTGACAAACTGAAATCAATCAGAAACTGTATACCTTCCGAAACGTTTCCTCAAGGGCTGCAACAGTTCACATAGCCACTGTGCTAATTTGTGGTATGTAGAGTTTATCGTAAAGAGAATATAGATCTTAACGGCGTTCCTAGTTTGTGTATTTTAACGCGTCCGTAATGGTTTACGCAAGTAGCTAGCCAGAAGTTGAATGGTTTTGAACTCATTTCGCTGTCTAAGCTGAGTCAAACCTAATCCATGAATGAAGAACTCTGTCCCATTTCTGTGAAACGACCATCTGGTATTTAGATCACTTTAGTCTAGCTGGCTATCACTCCTTTTAGGTGTGAACATTATCGAACTAGTCATTTAACTCATGAAAAATTCCCATTGTAACATATAGAAAATCAAAACAAGTGATTCAGCGAAGGACTCTTTCCAACAACGAATTTATCATCAAGGTGTACAATAGTAGGTTTATATGGTTTTAAGAATTTATATTCGGTGAGGGAATTGAATCATATGTGTGAATGCATAAAAGAATAATTTTTTTCCTTCAGATTCCCTGTGGATCATTGGGCCTCAGGCCAGCGACTTGAAG